GTGGTTCTAATTATCCTCACCAAAGTCAGGCACCCAAGGTGCCCCCATTATAGGGTTCCCACTCTCTCAGCCCTCAGACCATGCGTGACACTAAGGTCGTGTCAACGTCTTTAGGCCAAAAGAGGAAGGTTATCACCTTGAGTGGTGGTTTCCGACCATACCGGTGGGCTCATGGCCCTTTACTACGGCAAATTGTACCTACCACCCACTCCCTAAGGTTATCCCACATGCCCCCGGGTATAGGGGGAACTGTTGTATGCAAAGATTTATGTACAGTTTTTTATTTCAAACAATTGCAGAAAAATAAACATACAACAGTTATTAAAGTCATACAATAAAGCATGTTATAAAACAAGGAAGGGTAAAAGCATGATTTCAAGTTTTTATTTTTTGAACTAGTCCATCACTAAATGGGATCAACTCTCTAGCTTCCCCAGTGGAGTCGCCATCTGTCACTGCCATCGAAATGAGGGCGGTCGAAGCGACGCATTGGTTTTGATGACTCGCGTTTTCTAAAAAAATGGTCAACACTTTTAGGTTGTCTGATAACCAGGCTGAACCTAAAAGCGAGATTTTTGTAAATGGGTCCTGGAGTTGCCACCAATATTTTAACCGTAAACATTGGAAAAGGAAAAAGAAGGCGTTGGTTTAAGAAAAACCAACTTTGGTCATTACAACCAGCGTCGGGTAAGGGAGTTAATTACGTGTGAGAAGCTATTCTCAAAAATAAAAATAATGAAATTATGCTTTTACCCTAACTATTCATTGCAGAATTTAAATAGCTATCTACATGGCCCTGATAATTAATGCATACGAGAAAAGCAATAAAAGAAAACAGTAAAAGAGGATAGATAAAAAACCTCCGAAGCGAGTTTTTATATATATTGAACGAAAGGACGCGTTTTGGCAATCTCGCACTCTACACAAGCACTCCTCTCTTGAAAAGAAACTACTTGATGCTACCTAAAGACCTCAGAATTGGATTCTCAGAGCTCAAATGTGAAATCTCTAGAGCTTAGGAGTGTAAAACTATGCAATTCTATGTGGAAATGGGGAGAATGGAGGTCCTGTTTATAGGAAAACACATCAGGCAGGCCGGGACGGCCGTCTAGAATTCTGACAGGTGAGATGGCAGTATGGGATTTCGAGATGGTCGTCTCGCCTCGAGGGAATGGTGAGACGGTCGTCTGGAAAAATGAGATGATCGTCTCGCCATAAGGGAATGGTGAGACGGTCGTTTGGAAAAACGAGATGGTAGTCTCGTCATAAGGGAAAAGCGAGACGCCCGTTTGGAAAACCGAGACGACCGTCTAGGGCTTCCTGTCAGAATTTTCCTATTTTCTTATTTTTTGCACAAAAAAGTCTTCATATTCTTACATGGAGCCTAGTGAACGTGTCTAGGGGCCCTTTAGAGCCTTGTCCATCTTCGAATAGAGGATTTATGGTCTTTATTTATAAGGTCGGGCAAGATTTAGGGTCTAGAGGAATATTTTTTTTCATTCTAATAAGCATTTCCATCTTCAACGTTGTAGAACACGAATCTTTGAAGAAATGACTAATTTCAATAAGAGGATTTAAAATATGTACTGGTAACGCACTAAATGCAATAGGAAGTAAACATTTCGTGAATACATGACAATCATGACTTTTCATGCCATGAATACTCCCCTTTTCAGCATCAGCACATCTTTCCAAGTTGGAAGAATAAACATCGGGCATCCTAAGTTCTTTTAACCAACGACAAACTACCTTTACTTGTTCAATAGTATACGTGTAGTTTGCTTTAGGCTTTAACATTTTGCCGTTAGCTTGTGCCTTTAACTCCAAGTCTAGATGCATACAATACAAAGCTATATCCTTCCTCGTCTTCTCATTATCTTTTGTCTTTCCATTTACATTCATCATAGTGTTGAATATGTTATCAAAAAAATTCTTCTCTATATGCATTACATCAAGATTGTGTCTCAACAAATTATCTTTCCAATACAGGAGATCCCAAAATATACTTCATTTTTTCCAATTATGTCACTTTCTATCCTTGTGATACCACACTCAGTTACTTTTGGTAAATCTTTTACTCTTCTCCAAACTTGTGTAGGTGTTAGCCGAGGAAGTGGCCCTTCTACTTCAACTTCTCCCTTTCGAAAGGCTTTAATGTTTCTTCTAAATGGATGATCATTTGGTAAGAACACTCTATGCGAATCAAACCAACAAATTTTACGACCATAATTTAATGTAAAGGATTTTTATGCTCCATGCAATGTGGACAAGCCAATATACCATGAGTCCCCCAACCAAATAACATCCCATAAGCGGAAAAATCATTAATTTTCCACATTAAAGCTGCCCTCATCATAAAATTTTGTTTATTTGAAATACTATATGTGAGAACACCATTCCACAATTTTTTTCAAATCATCAATTAAAGGCTCTAAGTAAACATCAATAGAGACCTTCGGATTGGATGGACCCAGAATTAGGCAAGTTAGAAACATATATGGCTTGGTCATGCACATTTCTGGAGGAAGATTGTATGGAGTAACAATGATAGGCCAACAAGAATAAGGTGAAGATGAAGCCTGAATATATGGATTAAATCCATCAGAGCATAACCCAAGTCTGACATTGTGTGGATCAGCAACAAAAGTTGGATGTTTTCGATCGAAGTGTTTCCAAACTTCACCATCTGATGGATGGCATAATATATCGGAACTTCTATTGTCATGGTGTCAAGTCATTTGCCCAGCAGTTTATATTGATACAAATATTCTTTGTAATCTAGGAATTATAGGCAAGTAAAACATGACCTTTACTGGAACTAGCTTTTTATGGGTTGTTCTACTATTGTTCTCATGATATCTTGCCTTTTGACAAAATTTATATTGAAGTAATGTAGCATCTTTTTTGCCATTGTCATTATCATAAAAAAGCATACACCCAATCACACAACAATTGAGCTTCTTCACCTCTAATCCCAACTTTGATACTAATCTCTTGGCATCGTAATAAGTTTTTGGAAAATTGTCTTTTATAGGTGTGACATCCAACAACATGCGTATCATAAAGTCTAAGCATTAATCAAGAATATTCCAATTTGACTTGCAAGCGAAAAGTCTAACACATATTGACAATTTTGAATCTGTTGCCCCCTCAAATAATGGTTTATTTGTCTCTGCCAACAAATTATAAAACCTTTGAATTGCTTCATTTGGTGGCTCTTCTATGTTAAGACAATTGGGTCCTTGAAATGATTGATGTTGCCAGAGAGAATTGTACATCATCTCTTGCATTGACATAAATTGGTCTTGTTCAGTCATGTGTACATCAATACTTGAACCGCCAACACAATTATCATCAACATTCTCTTCACTTCAGGCATACGTTCTCCGTGACCTGTCCAAATCCAATAATTTGGTTTGAACCCTTGCTTGTAAAGGTGAACTTTGACGATTTCATCCTTCAAAATTCTTGTACAATCGCATTTGGTGCATGGACATCGAATTTCCCCATCACATTTGTAATATTCATATTGCCCAGCAAATCTAACAAACTCTTCAACCCCTATAACAAAATACTCTTTCAAACCTTTTCTACCATTATAACATCTATCATACATCCAACTACGATTGAAAGGAACATCGTCCATTCTCTGTAACAATGAAGAAATAGGATGACTTGATTTTGGATGTTGACAAATTAATTGTAATGTAAACTTGAAATTGGGGTTCATATAGATGTAGTACAACTTATAGGTGTACTACAAATCAAACTTTAATGTTAAGCACAAGTTCATAAAATGAAAATTTCATGGAAAACTTGAATTAAAGTGGAATGAATGAACTAAAACTTTTATAAACAATAAGTTATTGATTATTCATTATATATACTAATTAAGAACATGTAGATGATCGTATCTGTCAACTAATTGAAAACATGCAAACTCCTGCATGTTGAACTAAATTAAGCACATATATATATATACTTATGAATGTTCAAGTATTACAAAATTTTCCCAATAAGTAAAAATTGAAGTATAAAATTGCAAAAAACAACAAAAAACAGTCTCAATTACAAAATTGTCCAAATAAGCAAAAATAAAACAAAATTGTATTATGAAATTGTACAAAATAGTCTTCTTAATTACAAAACAGTCTCAATAAGAAAAATGGCAGAAAATTACACCATGAACTTGTACAAAAAAGTCTCAATAACAAAACAATACCAATACTGAAAGGTCCATAAAAAAAAAGTCTCTATGTATAGTTGGTGTCATTAAATTGTACTATTTTATTATGTGGTAAAAAATTTAGTAATGAGGAATGTGAACATACTTGCAATCACTATAAAACGCTTTACAATTTTCTTCCCTTTAAGCAATTCAACAACAAATTCTTGTAATCCTGTCATAAAGAAATAACACCCAGATCATTCAATAATAGATATAGAGGCACAATTCATCTTTCATCAACAATAGACATATATTTTATGGGAGTAACATATATTTTATATAATATTTATAATTATGAGAACCTAACCATCCTTAACCTATCCCTACTAACCCATAAGCAGAGAACACTAACATAAATTTAAATGGGATATACAAAAGGAAGATATAACACCAACAATAACATCCAAAACAACATTCAAAATTGATTTCCAAAAACATACAAGAAAAATAGAACAAGTGGAACACGTCAAATAACACCTGAGTTGCCAAAAGACGAGCAAGGCCACCATTCCCCAAGGTTGTAGGCAGAGAGATCCAGGAAACCACAATACAAATCCAAACTCAAATCAAAACAGTCTCAAGCATACTCAATAGTTAAAGATCCAAATTGGTCAAGTCCTGCATCAAACAAAATAAACTGGCCACAAACAAAGCAATTTTCATATCCAAGCAGATTAAGGCAGAAGTGCAAAAAACAAACAGCAAAAACATAATAAATCAACACAACAATGAAAAAAGGAAAAGAAAAATACAAACAGACCCTCACGACGAGCTAGGTCGCGCCCAAAGTGAGGGCTTGAGATACCTCGCGCGGTGGTAGTGGTGGCCTCACGGTACAGGGCTCGTGGTAAGGGTGCGAGCCACAGTGGCTAGTAGCGAAGGGGAGGGGGTGAGCGGCTCGCAGTGGGGACCTCACGATGGCATTGGGGGCTAAGAATGCAGTTGCGGTGGTGAAGGCGTGACTCCGAGGGGAGAAGGATTGCGGCAAGGCGTGGTGGCTCCAGTAGAGGGGGCGACGTTATAGGTTAGGGTTCAAAGTGGTGCGACGAGAATGATTAGGGGAGGCACTATAAGTTAGGGTTCAAAGTGGTATGGTGAGAACGATTGGAGATGATCGGGTGCTGGGTGGCGGAACTAGGTTTCGGTGAGGCGAAGCTTAGTGATTTGGAGATGGGAATGGTGTTGGTGCGGCTCCAGTGAGCGAAACGCAGGGCTAGGTTCAAGGAGGCTCAATGAGGGTGAGAAACACTGAGGTGGCTAGACGCGGGGCCAGGGAGAAGGGAATGGGTTTGAGTGAAGGGGAGAAAGATCACGAGGGGAGATAAGTGAAGGTTCACCCACGAACATTTCTGACAGATAAATCTATTGCTAAGGAATTGTTAATTTACCGATGGATAAATCCGTCGGTAATACAAATTTTTTCCACAACAAATATTCATCGGTATAGTCCGTCGATAAAATTTTTCTAATCACCCCACCCACGAACATTTCTGACAGATAAATCCGTCAATAAGAAATTGTTAATTTACCGACGGATAATACAAATTTCTTTTACAATAAATATTTGTCGGTATATTCCGTCGATAAAAGTTTATTTTCTGATCGATTTAAATCTGTCAGATAATTTTCATCAATAATTAACAATTTTCTTGTAATGAAAAAGTAACATGTGTATTCATATTTTTACACTATAATAGAAATTAGTTAATACAATTATAACAAATTAAAGGTAAAATCGTAAAAAATGTGTAAAAAATTAATTATTAAAAAATAAAAAAATAGTTATGGAATTGTAAGAAAATGTGTATAAAAATATATTTATGAAAGAATAATCTCAATATATATTTATATTTAAATGATATTTTATGAAAAATTAAAATACTAATAAAGTTTATAATTTTATTATAATAATTTATATTTTAATACTACATCATTGATAGTTGAGGTTTCTAAAATTGTACATATTTCCTAAAAAAACTGTTATTACGTGTAATGAAACAATAAATAGATTTAAACGTTGATAAATAATTATATTATGAATTTTATAGCTGTCGTTACGTGTGTTTATCTTTTAGTGGTGGTCTTAAACTGAACATAATGTAATTTGTCACAATTAAAAAATTTAATTTCTGATGCAGTTTGTTAATTTAAAAATAGTAAAAAAATCAAATCAAACATTTTAAAAGTAAAAAGATTAGAGTAAATTTTTTAAATAATAAAAGGTGTTAAAAAAAAAGAATAAATCCTAGTCAAAGCTTTAGAAAGGTGTCATTGTCAGTCTTGCTGCTGAATATGTTCACTCGCAAGTTGTTTATGAATTTCGTGGAAAATATAGTTCTGGTCTGCTTCTAGAATAGTGGGGGATGAATTTGGTTCCATTTTGGTGCCTCAGCAAAGAGCAAACAAAATAAACAATATTGTTTGGTTTCAAAGAAACAAGACAGAGAATATTAGTGGTAGGTTTACTGGAACTTAATGAATAAATCAAACAAATTTAAATTTTAATGCATGATAGTATTGACTTACCCATTTAGGTCATTTTTTGAAAAACAAAAAACTAGTTATTTTTTAATACTAACCAACTACCTCTGATGTGAAAAATCTTAACATATGGGTCATACAGAAGGTGAAATAAATAATTGATGAATAAAAAAAAAGGTAATTTTCTATTCCCAAACAAATAATGAAGACCAAGGTGTCTATTCTTTCTAACTACTTTAGATTATAATGAATTTGATTATTATGAAAGAGTAAGCAACATGTAGCTCTCAATTTGTTAATTTGTACATAAACTAATTTTAACTTATAACAAAATATTAAAAGTATTTAATAAGAAATGTCTGACTTTTGGTAGCAAGCTTTTTTATTGCAAAGAAAGCACGTTGCGTTTACTTGTGACTATTAAAATCAAACTTTGTTGGGTGCATTGTTCGCACATTATTTACTTTGAAACTTCTTAATTGTTGTTAGTATTTTCTTTTGGGGTGGTACATGTCAATAAAAAAGAAAAAAAAGGAAAAAAACTCTTTTAAAATAAGAGAAGTGAATTATTATTATTATTAGATATTAGTATGAATGATTAATATTAAAACAAATTAATTACACCAAATTTTGAAGAATTTAGAAAATCGTGAGGTGTTATCATAGCAATTTGCGAACTAGAAAAATGTCAAATAAATTATTGAAGTTGAAGTGAAATCTTTTAGTTACTTCATTCCTTGTTGCTAGCTCCGTTAATGACGATGAACTTTAAAATTTAGAAATCATACAGTGAATAGTGAATTGTACATATAAACAAACGCAAGACCATAATTTAATTTTAATATTTTATTATTTTCAAGAGTTTAACGTATATTTTATTATTCTAAAAAATTTAACATATGCGGTTACTATGGGTCCAGTCTGAAATCGAGTAACATTTTAAGATTAATCATTATTTTTTTATCTAATCTAACTCTACGTTTAATCAATTTTAACCTTATTTAGAATTTTAAAAAATTATAATGTTTATATGAAAGCAATTTATCTAAACTCAAACGAGGAATAAAATTTCATGAATACCTCAAATATTAAGTAAGAAAAGAAAAATATAAATATAATAGATAGTATAATCTAATAAAAAAATAGAAAAAAAAAGTTATAATTTTGTAGGTTACTAAAATAAAAAAGTTCATATATCATCAACCTTTCTCATTGTAATGGCAAGTGGCGTGGTTAGGCTATATAATAATAAATAATCCAATGAACTCTAAGCATAATACAAGTGGCACGTCGCAACAACCAAACACGACATTGTGTTTCTTATTTATGCAGAAGAAAATGAAAAGCAATGATTCTAATCAAACATATGAGGCGCTACTAGTCAATGTTCATCGCGACGACTTCATTGTCCAGACAAGCATCACCCGTGCTAGTTACTCTGACCACGATGTTCCAAAGAACCAAAATCAAATAAAGTTGATATATTTTGGAAAATATATATTTTTTACGAGGTGTGATTAGACTCTATATCATTAGAAAATCACATGGTAGCCGTAAAAAATTTAAGATAGGAACAAGTAAGTCTTTTTCTCCTTTATTCATTCAAAAAGATGGAACTTGTGTAAAGCTCATAAATTTATAAATTTTAGCAACTTTGTATTATTAATACAAACTCCAAAGATTTGTCTTCACTCAACTCTCCTACCACTGGTGTTAGGTCAAATCTCTCACCCAAGAGAAGCTCAAACACACCTACTCCATTTCTTCCCACATTATAAATTCTTGCATTCATTGCTCTCTTCACACACTCCACTTTCTAACAACCAAAACCATGGCTACCAAATTCCTCTTATCGTTCCTTCTCATCTCCTGCTATGTACTCTCCATCTCAGGAGAGGAAGAAACGGGTTTCGTGGGCTCACCAGACCCCAAGTCATTGGGTTACAAGAAGAAGCACACTCTTAGCCACTTCAGGTTCTACTGGCACGAAATCTTCAGTGGAAGCAACCCCTCCTCGGTTAGAGTCATTCCACCACAACCAAAGTACAACACAACCACCACCTTCGGTTCGGTAGGAGTCTTCGACAACGTGTTGACTCTAGGACCCGAGTTGTACTCAAAGGTTGTGGGAAGTGCTGAAGGGTTGTACTCCTCCGCTTCACAAAAGGAGTTTGCCCTTTTGGTGATTTTGAACTTTGCGTTGACCGAAGGGAAGTACAATGGTAGCACCATCACATTCGTCGGGAGAAGCCCCATCGCGCAGAAGGTGAGGGAGTTGCCTGTGATTGGTGGCAGTGGTGTTTTCCGATTTGCCAGGGGCTATGCTGAGTCCAGGACTCTCTCTTTTGATCCCCAGACGAGGAACAACACCATTGAGTACAACGTCTATGTTTACCACTAATTCCCGTGTTCTGAAGGGTGTTGATGCGTTTGATCATTGTTGTTGTCTTTCACAGGCTTTAGTGTGGCACTCTGTTTTTATTTATGTTTCCCTCTTTTGAGGTACAATGGAATAAAATCATGTCTTAGTGAAGTTTAAATCTCCATGTTCATGTTCACAATGGTAGGATTATTATTATATCAATTGATAATTATATTAAAAATAATAATTATATTAATAATAATAATTTTCATAAGAAAATTATTCGATTATTTTAAATCTCTATAATAATAATATCTTAATCATAAATAGTTTGATTTTCAATGCGATATCCAATATGAAATCTACATACAAATATTCCACAAAATATTGAATGTACAGTATGTTATTTTATTATAATTGTTTAAGATCATGATTAATGAATTTTACTCTACGTTATTTACGAAATTAGTAGAGAACACATTTGATTATTCAAAATTCTGACACTTTCCAAATTTATGAAACATTAAACTATTATAAATACAATATATGTCTATTCTTGAGTAGATTCACTTAATAAAAATGATGTTTGATATATTTTCATTATATGATTTATTAAATTCACTTTTTGTTGGGACTTCCATGCATATTTTTCTTAAATTTAGGTACGTTGAAAACTGAACTAATTAAAAAAATAAAATCAATTCAAAAAATTAATTAAAAATGATTTTTTTATTAAAAGATTTTAAAATCAATTTAAGTCAGTTTTCATTTTTGATAATCAAGAATCGCTCAAATTGAATGGATATGAAATTATAATATATATTATTAAAATTAAGATATAAAATGACTGGACTAATTATTTTATTATGATTTATGACATAAATATCTCAATTAATTATATAATATTTTTATAATATATTTTTTTTATCTCAATTCAAAGTAAATAATATATATTTAAAAAAAAAACATTCAAACAACATTAGTACATATAGTTTGATCAAATCAATTTTCGTAGCCAATAACATTTGTCTTGAATTTTCTTCTGGGCCTGTTATGGGACCTTAGCATACCCTTCATAACCTGCTTCTTAACGTTAGTTAAAAACAAAAACAACCTTGAATACTTAAATACTCTTGAATGCTGGAAATACACTCGATTCTTTCGAAATATGTGAATGTGGCTCTTTTTTCATGTCACCAGAAAAGAAAATAAAAAATTGTTAATTACTATCTTCTTTCCATGCATTTCGATATTTAGGCTAGTTTGCATGAATTAAAAATTATTTAATAGATGTAAATATGAACTAATACACCTTTATTTAATTCCCATCACAGCCTTTATGTAATATTCATAAATAATAAAAAAGAAAAAGAGTAAAAAATTATTTTTAATTAATCCACCATCTGCATGCTTTACCAAAATGTGATGAATGCGATGGGTTATTACGTTTTGTAAAAAGCCATTTTCAGACAATTTCTAATTTTATTTTTCATTTTCAAAAACTATTCAAGTTATTTTACAACACACGACTTCAATTATAAAAATATAATTGAAGTCATGTAGTGTTTTAAATCAAGTTAAATAATTAAAGACAGTTAACTAAATTCAAGTGTTTGATTCTAAGCTCAGTCCAATATTTATGAATCCATTTTTAACCTGGTTTCAACACATCTCAACTCGCATGTTATAAAAATTGAGTTAGAAGAACCCAGAACAAGTAAATTGCTTTATCTCCAATCCATAGCTACCACCAGAAAAGACAAAATTCCAAATACTAAGACACTGTTGGTAAATAGTAGAACCTTAATCTAAGGACAGAAAATCGATATACATGCATAAAAGGTAAAGGAGGGTAGAAGGAAACCAATTCGAAAACCAAAGGTGAAAAATGGTCCACCAAACCAGAATTGACATCACTCTTGGAACATTATAAAGCAATGAAAGCTGCTCCATTACCTAGTTTTAACCTTCTGAACACGCTATCAAACACTGCCTGTGACCTCTTCCAGCTTCTTTCTTTGGTCACCCTCATGGTCCATACATTGATTATAATAAAATCCATACAAGGTAACCAAACCAAACACTCTCTTACAATCCATGGTCCTGTCAATATCCACCCCCAGAATTCTCCCATTCATTTACGTGGACACATCTCAAGTACTTTCCTTCAACCAATCCAACCCCTTACAAAAACAGAAACCTCAAATCATAAACCATAGACTGCTCCTTCAACAAGTGATGATGCCTCTAGATTGCAACATACACTATAACCACGTGTACCCACGGAAAACAATCAATGGTCACTCACTCACATTTGCAAGAGCCACCACAATCTAAAGGGTAACAAACAGTAATTTGGTATGCTATATAAGCAAACTTAATTGCTTTCCTTCTATACCAATCCATATACTACCACCATTTTTTTTTCTCCTTTTTACATCACATTAGTACCACTACTAGTTAATGCCTGTGGAACAGGCTTTCATGAGTTCAGAAGCATAAATGAGACCCTCTAAAAATTAACCAAAGAGAGGTAGAAAAAGTAACAACACAGCCACACTATTAATAAAAAGGTCCTAAAACTATTTAATGGCCTTCTCAAATGGTGCTGCTTTTGCGGACAACATAGCGATAAGCAGCAACCTTTTTCCTCCTGGAGGCAGTGTTATCAACTGAGAGTACCATCTTGCCAGATTCTTTTGATGTGAATGAGTTGTGGATTGCTTCTTCTGAGGCTCCCATCTTCCTTGGCTTTTCAACTGCTATGGTGTAGCTTCCTTCAGCATTTGGCACAAACTCGGCACTGTATTCCAAGTCCCATCCTCCCACCACAATGTCCCATGTGATCGATGCACCAGCCTAATTCATCCAACAAGAACAAAATTTACAACAATCTTCCATTGGCATCAAAACCATTAAGCAATGAATATAATATATATAGAAAGTCCAAAAAGAAAGATCATTATAAGGATTCGTTTATTTGCATGACAGGAAGACTAATAATAATAATTTGCACAGAAGAGTGTGTTAGGCACATTATTGAGCTTAATTTTTTTCCAACAATCAGAACTGAGAGTAAAATGAAAGGTAGTTATTATACAAGTCAATAAATTTTGGTATTTACATAGTGATTTGTGATTTTAGTGCGTGTAAAATGCAACCTTAGTTTAGAAAAATATATAATTGCTCAAACAAGCAAAACCAAGTAATTGTTTCTTTCAAAAAAGGTTGACGGAAACATGCACCAAAAAGCGTGGGTGAATCATCACCTCAATTCCTTCAATCTGTATGTTCACTTTCTCCCCGCCTTTGATTGTGAACTCAGATGCAGGTTTTGGGGGACCATTCGGCAAATCACTGGGCCTATTCAGTCCTCCATACTGCACAGGAATATCCTCAGGCCTAATAAATCTGAACAGAAGAAAACAGCTCCCTTCAGAAAGCAAACCCAAAATGGAAATAGAAGGAAAGTTGGAATTATATTTGTTACCACAAAATGAAGCCGGAGAAGGACAACTTAAGTAATAAAAATATTAATGAACAAAATCTAAGAATAGTAGAAACTAGAAAGCAGACAACATCTAAGACACATTTTAAAATCTTCATATAGATTAAAATAAAAGGAGCCAAAATGCTTTCAACTAGCAGGTTTTTAAGATAAAGATTTTAAGAGGGAAAAAGATGACAAATTGAACCAATAAACTCACTTGTAGAGTGTCTCTGCAGCATTTCCTTCCTTGGAGATCACAAACTTGCTCTTGGTTCTCTGAGTCAGAAACGGACTGAACATTGAATACAGCATGCTGAAGTACCATGGCACGTTGACGAAAACCTGAATCCCCAAAAGCCAAACCAAGGAAATGAGAAAAATATATATCTCAAAAAAGGTGAAAGTTTGTGTCACAGTCACATAAATGCCATGACATTAATTGAGAGCAACCAAAACAACAAACTTCAACATGTTCCTAATTTGAAGAAAACAACAAAACCACATAAACCTTGCGAGCCACCATTTCCGGGTAGTTGTCTTGGAACAAGGAGAGGATCTGGTTGGAAGCCACCCTCAGCTCTCTCTTCGGCATGTCCTTGAGGTCTGTGACCTGAATGAGAGAATTGACCCCACCAGGCTTGAAATGAAGAAGCTTGATGCCTCTCTCAAGGACTTGAACTCTCCACCTGAGGAACTTTTTCAGTTTCTCCTCATCACCAAAGACCTTCTCATACATTTCCTTGTCCTTAAATACCCCATAAGCATTGTAGCACACAGGGTGCCCTTCTTTGTCATACCCTTGCATATATGCTATCACTCCTTCAAGCTCGCTAAACCCCAAATCTTCTTCCAAAATGGTGTCAGCACCAAAGTCCTTCCTCCAAGCAAGACACTTTATAAGCATTTGGAAGGCATCACCAACCCTAAAGTCCCTAGCTCTAAGAAACTTCAGGAGAATAACATCAGCTCTGTCATCACCTCCAAGGAGGGAAACGCCCCACATGGAGGCATCAGAGGGTGAGTCATCAAAAGAAGCTTTGAGCTTGTCCTTCAGCTCCTGAAGGGCTTTTTTCTCTGAGGACCTGAGGAGGGACACAAAGTAGTTGTCTTCTTTGAAGGAAGGAGAATTGGAGGCTCCTCCCATTAGGGTGGCCACAAAGCCCTTCTTGTAAGGCTTGGGGGAAGCTTCTGGAAGGTCTTGGAAGCTTGTCTTTTGGTTCTGGAGGGACAAAGGGGATGAAGCGGTCTCCATCATCAAAGAGGGGTTTTGAGAGAGACCCAGACGGAATCAATGCATGAAATGACAAATGCAGAATAATGGGGTGGTGATTCTAGCAAAAGCACTGAACTTTCTCTCTCTGTGTGCGTAAGTGAAGTGTGTAGAGGGTGGTTGGAGAAAAAAGGGGCAAGAGGGAGGAAAGTGACGAGGAAATGAGGGAATGGGGGAAGAGAACAAGAGAGTTTTGAGACGAGATTTGAGTGTGGAGTGTGTTGTTGTTGTTGTGGTGTTTGAACGAGTGAGGGAGATGAGAGTGGTTTAAGAGAAGAAACGAATTTGAATGTGCTTATGAGGGAGTGAACGAGACAGGGGTCGTGGCAGAGAGTGAGGACACGCTCCATTCTGCGCGAGTGGGGATACTTGAACTGTGTTGCTGTACAGTTCAGAGTTCAAACCAGAGAAATCTCGTAGTTTATACTCTTGGATTATCTTCTTTTAATTGTTTGCATGTTAAATATGGTAAGGTAAAATAGTTTACCAGTTACTTAGACAACAAATAAGTTATTAAATGTGTTTGGTTAGTTAGGCAAAGTTAAGTTAATATATAAAAGTAGTGCATAAATCATTTTTATTTATATTAGTTTAAAAAATAATAATACGAATACAATTATTTTATTTTATTTTTTAATTTATTTCGGTTTACTATACCAAATTTTAATATCTACTTTTGTTCTATGAATTTGAGTACATATGTTTCGTGAGCAAAACTTTAGTCCATAGTTTAGCAAAAAGCTAATTAGGTTGAAGTTATTTAATTAGTTTAGTTTATATAAATGTGTTTAGTAATTTTTTTAGTAATTATTTGCTTAAAATTTTAAATTATTAAGCTAATAAAAGTAGTCAACATTTTTTTAAACTTAATTAATTTTTAAATTTAAAATTTTTATATAATATAAAAGTAATGATAAAAATACGTCAAATATAACTTTATTCCATTTACGTTGTATGTCATTTAAAAGTCCTTCAATTTTTTGAACTAATTAAATTCGTACGTTTTATAAGTAAACTAAATTTAGTCTCTTATTAATTTTCTATATCTTAAAAATAGTCAAATTAGTTTTTATGTCAACTTTCATTATTTAAAATCTTTACATTGTTATTTTCTATTAAATAATTAGAAATAACTCTCTTAAAATAATTTCAAAAGTTTATAAATGAGAAATTGAGTAAAACTTGATAAAATTTGACAGAGTTTATAAGATAATAGATTGGATTTTTATGTTTTTTTATTTAGGAAAAGATAGATTGAAATTAGACGGTGGAAATTTTGAGATTTATTTTTTTATTTAGGGAGAAGATTGAGTGATAAGATTTGAGTACAAGGTAATTCAATCGATTCTATTGGTAATTATTTTAACAGAAAACGAAAATTTAAATTTTAAAATATAAATTAGATTTGTTCAATTTGAAAAAAGAGTCTCGATTAGATTAAAAAACTTTTAGAAAAAATTAACCTAATTTTTTTTTTAACATAAACGAGTAATTTAACCTTTTTTTATTATTATCATTGTTTAAATCAAATTTATGCGAGTGGTGCGAAGATAGTGTGGAAAGTGAAAAGATGATGGAGTGGGAAGGGAGAAAAAGTTGATGAAAGTAATAGACGGTTCTGATTTGGCAGTAGCAACACCACACCGCCTTAGAAGATTGCACGACACGGGGTTTTTGGCTCCATTGCGGGACCACCTTTCCCTCCTTATCTTTAATTTAAATTACACAAAGGGCGATTTCTTTAAGGTTTTTTCACCTAAAAAAAATCAATTTTTCATGTTTTAATTTATCATTTAATTAGTATTTTAACTCTTAGAAATGCAATGGGTAAAATTTTATATATACAAAAAAAATTTAATAAATCGGAATGACATTTATCTTCGTTTAAATTTAAAAATAATAATATAATTATAATACTTTTAAGATAGTAAAGTTTATTATATTTTATATTGAAAATTGTAAAATTTTGAAGAATAATTTGATTTTTTTCTTATAAATGGAAATTGTGTCATTGATAATGAATAATAAGAGTAAAAATATATATATATATATATATATATATATATATATATATATTATATTCAAATAAATTATACAAATATTTCATTAGAGCATTATGTTAGGAGTATTAATATAAGAGGTGTTAATATAATGATGAGTGAAAGTGTTAATAAAGAGAGGTGTTAATATAATGATAGTGAAAGTGTTAATAAAGAGTAGGTATGAGAGAAAATGGTAGTAAAGATTTTAGTAATGCTCATGATGAGGATGTAAGAGATGATACTAATAAAATTGTCATGGTAGATGAGATTATTGGTTATCCTATGAATATGTGAATATGTGGGTGAAACCATCATTTAGGATAATACTAATGCATTTGGTTAGTTTGTGAATAAGAGTATAGATGAATTTGTTCATGAGGTTTCACGTCAATGTTTAGATAAAGTAATGATTGATTCTCTTAATATATATATATATATATATGGATGATCATGTAATAAATGTCATAATTAATCTTTGAATGTAGGTATGGTTGAGAAAGGAATTTAGGGACATGAGTATTATTATGTTTAGCAAGACATTTCACAATTAAATATATTCTAACTAAAATATTTCTTCAGTATTTTTTCTCTTTGATAACATTTTGTTCCAAGTTTTTATCAAATTCTTCTATCTTTTATTTGATCTTACTCTCTAACTAATTCCAAATATTCATGTTGGTCATATGCTCAAAAATATTTTCATGTTAGTCATGTTTATTAGGATCCAATTAAATTGGTCATTTGCTCAAAAATATTCTCATGTTAGTCATGTTTGTAAGGATCCAATTAAATTAAGAGTAAAAGTTGTTTGGTGAATTAAAGTTTTATAATTTAATGTTTAAGTTAAAGAGATTATAAATAGATAAACTTAATCATTTCAAATTTCATTCGTACAAAACCTTATCTTTTTAAAATTTTCTTTCTTTATCTTTTCTTTAGATTTTCTTATCCTCCTTTATCGTATTTATCTAGATCCAGGCACATATTGCTTTTGACGTGGAGTGGATAATTCCACTCGATCATAACAAGAAATAAAATAAGTCTCTCTTTACTTTTTTAACAACATTTTTGCATGTAAGGTTAAGGTTTTCACGTGGACTCGAGGATTCTTACATGTATAAAGATGAATCTTGTATAGTTTAGGATCATTATACTATGTTCAATTTATTGATTAGGATTTCTTGTGAGTCATTTGAATTTTTTTGTCTTCTCTTTATATTTTCTTACCCTCCTTATACTTTTTTTTTCTAGATCCAAACATGTAATATAGTGCCCTTAGTGAGGAGTAAATAATTTTACCCAATCATAATTGGAAATAAAGTAATTATTTCTTTTTCATTTTTAAGAACATTTTTGCATGTATGTGGGTCTAATGGTTCTTTCATGTGTATATTATTATTGGCAAAGATGAATATTATCTAATTTATGTGTATTATAATATATTCAATTTGTTTATTGATATTTTCCTTTGAGCATGATTTTACTTCTTTTAGTTTTGTAAGCATTTGGGAGTTTGCTTGGAGAAGTAAAAATAGAGGTAAGGAAAAAATAATTTTCAATTTCTAAGTACCCTATGATACATGATCTTGACCTGTGAAGGTGACATGGTCATAATGTTTAAATTGTAGGGAATTCAACTAAATTGTGTGATTAAAGGTTATGTTATGTGTGTTTATTTGTAATTAAATGTGAATATGGGTGATTTAGAGTAATGATGTTCATAGGGATATTGAGTAGAATATATGAAATGTTAAGGTATAACAATTAGGTCAGTTCAATGTTAACATGTTTTGGATAAAAAAGCATGATAGAATCTCCAAAAAGTGAATTGGGTGTCTTTTAATCCATGTTATACAATCTATAAGTTTTTTATAATTGCATAATTTGCTGAAGTGATACCTTGTTGCTCAAGAAAATATGTAGTAATGGGTGAGGACTCTTCTTTTGAGTCTCTTTTCTTACGTGAGGATTTGTTTACTTGAGTGATGAAACTCCCACAAGAGAGAGAAATCTTAAACTCATTTTCACTTAAGCTAGAAACTCCTAGTAGAGTGATGTTTGAATCTGTTGTGATTTTGTTAAAGTGAGATACTAGTCAATCAAACAAGGAGATGTTTCCCTCAAGCAATAATAATTTTTCTTAAGCAAAATTACTCCAAAGATAAATGAAGATTTTGAAAGGGATTTCACTTAAACAAAAATAATTCGTTTGAGCGATAATCCTGATGAAAAGCATAAATTTTTGAGTAACTTTATATGATAATATAATTTTGTTAACTTGTTTTTAAATGTATAATATGTGATTAAAATGTGATATATGTATGCATGTTGGGTGGAATGTTTGAAGTTGTGCTTTGAGTAAATAATTGAATAATGTGTTATAATATAGGAAGAACTAAGGAGATATTTATATATGAGATGGACATTTAGGAATTCAATAAGAGATATTTTAACTCTACTAATCACTATAATCATATAAATTAAGTGATAAGGTGGTGAGAGTTCAAAGGAGAGGTGTTATAACATGGACTACGGTATGAAAAAGAAATGTGTTTGAGTAAGTCACATGAACTTATTTTGTCACATGAGAATGTGTGTATCATTTTAATTACTTTATGTTAAGAACTTGGAAAAAACATAATGTGATAAGTCTTGATTTTGAGTTTGAATTTAATACCTAATATTTCTAAAGTTGTTAAGTGCATGTGTTAATATAATATTAAACTTATACGAGTGTGTTATGAATATAAACACTTATGACGATTGTCTAATTGTCTTATGGATGATCTTATATGTAAATGTGATGATAGTCTAATTATCTTATGAATGATGTTATATGTAAATGTGTGCTTATAAATAATTTAAATTAAATTTCTAACTGATTTTTTTTGTTATTGCTTTACATTGGAACAAATGATGTATGTGGTAAACCTTCCTAGAGTT